ATGTATATGGGCTTCCCAGCAGCGGCCAAAGCCCTGGCCAAAGCCGAGACAGAGTTAGGGCAAGCCCCCCGACATCCGTCTGGAGACGAGTTCATACTTGTAGTAAGGGAGGTCACGTGAACTGAAAACAGCGAGCGGTAACTTTTTGGAACGACCCCCTTCCCACAAAACAAGCAAATCTTGGTTCCTCCCCCCTGAGCACGCTCCATGCTTCTCTGTTGTTGTTATTCTACCGCGCCGCCATTTTGTAAAGTTGTAATCTTGGCGCTGATTGGTTTGTGCCAAATAAGGCAAGCTCATGAATTATTTATAAATGACGTCACCAGAAGTCAAACTGTCAGCGGTAAATAGCAGGGCTAAAACCCGAAGGAACCGAACCGGAGGATTTTAGCCCTGCGAAGGAGGATGACATGAAATAATAAATATGCATTTGCTTTGCAAATGTTACTTCAGTCTGTAGTTGTTTTTAACTTCACATTCTCAGTAAGTTTCAGGCCTCGAAATTAACTTTTTTTTTTTACTATTGTCCCAGAATTGTCCCAAAAATAGATTTCAATTGTCCCAAACTGAGGATGGACTGTCACAGCCTGCTTTTCAGGAAATAAGTTTATGACAACAATAAGAAAACAACAACTGAATTTGTGCAACTTGAAGTCCACTTTATTTATTTATGGTTACTTTTTTTAGGCTATATCTTTACTGTGTACACAGGCTATACTGGTAGTAATATTGTATACTGTGTCACTATGTACTGTCTACATATTTTTAATTTCTGTGTCCCTTGGATGTCACTTTATGGTTTACATGTATTTCAGCTGGCTGTCTAACAATTTTAGTAACCAAGGCTTTTGACAAGTCAGTAGCTACATGATGTAGATTAATTATTAAGATTTATAATATACATGATTGTACATATATGTTTCATCATTTTTACAGAGAGGTAGGACTGCCAAAACCATTCCAGGATTGGAGTACGGATTCCTGGCACAGGTGAGACAGGCTACTTTTCTACTAAATTAAATCCTGAACCTAAAGCCTTGGTCACAACCCGCCGTACGTGCTTCTGCGTGCAAAAACGTGGGCAAACGTAGGGCATCCGTGCGTGGTGAGTACCGCCTCCGTACGGAATCCCACGGATTCGGGAGCACGCAGACACGCCGTAGAACTTTAAGTGCGTGTAAAACTTTTCATGCGTGCGGTCTGCGGATTCACCACCCGCACGTGCGACGTGCGTGCCCTGTACAGCCTATGAGCGCACAACACACGTTTTCAGAAAAACGTAGCAGACGTGGCCTCCCAAAAAAACGTACGGACAAAAAGCACGTACGGCGGTTTGTGACCAAGGCTTAAGACACACCTGGTTCTGTTTTGTTAGGAGGTTGGAAGCTCTCATCTTGGGATATCTATGATTGGTCAATGGGCATGTATCACACTTCAAACATGACTTGGCACATGTATAAAATTAATGTATTATGTATGATTGACTTGCTTCAAAGTGCTAAGAAATTTAGCTCGTTGGAAGAACACACTGCGCCTGTGCGAAACCTGATATCATTGTATTCTGCATAGCACTAACTTCAACAGAGCATCCCATTTAAGATTAGAGGATGACATCCCGTCCATAGTTTCCAAATTTTGTGTCCTAACCATTGTCCTGCTGGCATTTTTTACACAATATTTTCATTGACAAGTAATTTGATGTCTAAAAAAAGGTCATAGACCCTTGACTTTTTTTGCCCTGCGGTGGCGTAGTTACAATGTACTTCCGCATTCGTTGCGTTTCACTGCGGTGGGATGGGTTGCATGAAAAATACTTCAAAATTGTGCGTGTACAGGTCCCTATATAGATGATACTGTATGTGCAACCCATATACCGTATACATATTTATGAGCTCCGCAGTACAATGGTTAAAAGATATCGTCTGCAACAGGCGAAATTCTGATGCAGTGATGAAAACATGCAGCAAAAATGGTCAAAATTCTGGGTTTCTTGCAGGCGCAGTACATTCTGCCGACATACTTAATAATACAGTTATGTAGTACAAATAAAGCATGACATTGTCATATTTTGCAAGCTTCTTGAACATTGCTAAATTAATATATGTACAGTTCGATACAGTTGGGCTGACCATGTCTGATAAAATGTTGATGCCTTGTTGCAGTGCCTAATATATGCACGGAACCGCATCCCAACCCTGAATGAATACTGTGTGGTGTGTGATGAGCCACATATATTCCAGAACGGTGCTATGTTGAAAGTAAGGCCCATTATAATCAATTATATTAAAATTTAATTAATACATAATGTACTGAGAATACATGTACATCAACTTGTTTCTTTTTGTATTGTAATTGTAATGCTGTCACAGAGTAGTCTGTAATTCTTGATTTTTTTTTCACAATACTTTATGTTTGCGGAGGTTTTCATGGTCACTTCTGTACCGCAAACTTATCATTATCATTAACAAATGATTCGCCGACTTCCTTTTTCTGCACCTGATACCACCATGAAATGTAGTTTCATGAACACCTCCATGTTTCTGAGACTGTGAACCTAAAGTGAATTACTTTTTGTTTTAGTTCATGCAGTACAGAATCTGATCTCAAATATCTTCCCATATACATGATTGTGATATTTCAAATTGAAAGAAAAAGTCATGCAAAATGCAATTAAAAACTGTGCAAAACTTCTTGTTTAAACTGTGTGAAACGTGTTTCAATGTTCTTGTAATCAATGTGGTTATTGCACAATTAGTGCTAACGGTTTGCACGGCTTTTGCATGAGTCTTAACCGCGTGTTACACGGCATTTACAGGGCTTTTAATCATGATTTAAATGTGATTTACATGACTTACTAATAGATGATAACTAAACGAGTTAAAACCGCATGTAAAATGTATGGTAAAGGAAGATGACATTGTGTACTGTATCTCTACAGTTTCAAGCCCACTATACCAGTCCTGTACATGTATAATACTAAATGTACATGTAGACATGCAAAGTGTTGTTTGCACAGATGACTGTTACTGTAACAATAGTGTTGTTGTTGTTGTTGTTGTTGTGACATGTACTGCTTCTTCCCCAGCCTGTAGTGTGCGAGCGGGAAGTGTGTGTTTTTGCCTTCCAACAACTCGGTGTAATGAGAGGAGCGGCCGATGACATCGCCACTGGAGCTGAGGTCAGTCAGTCACACGTTACTTTGCTATTTCTAGTCATGCATAGTTCTTACTGGGCTGTTTTACATTGTGACATTACGCAGTGTTCTAGCCAAGAGCCTGAATTTTTTCTGTCATTGTTTGACGTAATATCATTGTAGAGTGCTAAACATGTCAATCAAAAATGTCCCGGGGCATGCTCCCCTGGAAAAATGTTGAATAATCCTAAACCTCTAAAATCTGCATTTTGAGGGGCAAATTTTGGTCTTTCCATATCTTTACACAGTCACCGATTTTTGTCCGTCCAAGATGACAGATCGGGCAAAAATTTTATCCGTCATGGCCAGGAAATTTCTGTTTCTGTATAGCCGGTATAACCACCCTTCGGCGTAACACAGCAGCTCTGTGTCTGTATAGCCGGTATAACCGCCCTTCGGCATAACACGCCAGTTTCGCAGGCATGCGGCGTGGCGGCAGCTGGCTACATGTATATCACACCGAACGACTTGTTACACCTAAAAGATGGACAGACCACTGTGACAATGATTGTGACAAAGCTCGTGGTACATTGTATATTGCAGTGTATATAGGAAAATGAGAGTAGTTTTGATGATATAATAACCAACATAATTTGTCCCTGTCCCAGGTTGTGGACTTGCTGCTGGCTATGGTAAAGGCCAGCTCCCACTCCCCCAGGAAAGACCTGATCCTCGACCCCTTCCCCTCAGTGGTAGATCCCGATAACGCCAAGGAGATGGTGCTCAGTCCAAAGGTAAGGCCATGTTGATTTGATTATATGGATGTCATACGCGGGCGCATGAATTTTCGGCCGTTTCCAAAAAGTTAAGCTTTCAACTATACTGTAAATCGTACAAAACTGTTGCAAAATGAGCAAATATATACCGTAAGTTGCAAAAGACATACTGTAATTCACTTTATGTTCACGGTAGCAAAATTTCACGGTCTGAGAAAAATGGACATGTTCACGGAACTATGTATTCACGGTGGCGACAGGTGCCGGAATTACTCAACTGTAATAATATGATAAGTTCACTGTACAGTATAGTGACAGTGAAAACAGTGAACATAAAAGTACCGTGAAAAAATCAGTATTTACAGTATTAGAAAATGATACATTTGTACCAATGTCGTAAAATGCCAAAATCAAACGAAAAAGACGAAAATGTAAAGAAATTAATTTGGAGACTACATCGTAGATTATTTGCCACTCTGTCATTTGTTCAACCTTCATAACCATGTAAATTTCATAATGAAAGCAGCTTTTTTTATACGCACGCTCCAGAAATGCATGAGAGAAATGTATCATAATTAGCTTGCAGTTTATCGTTTAACAAGTAAATTTTCTCTGCCACAGAAAAAGAACTATGACCGGGTGAATGCGATCCTGGACAGCCTGATGAGTGTGAGAGAGATGACCCAGGCCTCGGTGGACATGAAGAAACAACTGGACAAGAAGGACAAATATGCCTGGCCATTCCTCAGCTGGTAAATACATCATTCCTCTCTCTCTCTC